GTGCTGGGAGGTCTGGTTTAGTGATGGTGTTGCTTTTTGTTTGTTGTGCGGGTGTCTATTTTTGTCAGTTAGGTTGATGGTTGGACAAGATGATCTTTAAGGTCCCTTCCAACCTAGAAGATTCTGTGATTCTGTGAAAGGAGCTGGAGAGGGAGAAAAGGGGGGCAAAAAGAAGAGCTAAGAGGGAGTGCAGGAGAAGGAAAGGTCTTTTTTTGCAGGGCCTACAAGCTTTGGTGGATTTTCCTCTTGCTCCTTCCCAGCAGAAATGGCTCAGCCCATGGGCTGGAGGCAGCTCCTCTCCTCGGGAGCCACGGCTCTTCCCAAACCAGGGCAGCTTCCAGCCCTCCGTGCTGGTGTGCAGGACCTCGGGGGGTGGGAGGGGGGGTGGGAAATTAATCAGTGTCGGGGATAAACTCATCAAGTTGGGGGATAAATTCATCAAGGAGAGAGGGCAGGACCAAAAAGCAGAGGAGGGGCAGCCCCTCAGAGAGCGATGGGGCCACTTCCCCACCAAATCCATGCAGATAAAATGAAGATGAAGCAAAAAAAATGAAAAAGGGGGAGAAATGGGGACTAACGAGGCACGTTAAGGAAGAAGAGATGCCAGATAAACCCCCAAAATAACACCAAAGGAGGCAGGCGGGGAAAGGGCTTGTTTTATAGAGGTGTGAGCTGTGCTAATTAAAATAAGGACGTGTGGACTCAAAACACTTTGGTTCTGCTGCTCCCTCCTTCTGAGCTGGTCCCAGCCCCTGCTGTGTCTTCCAGAGAGAGCTCATGTCTTCCAGAGGGAGCTCGGTGCAGGAGATGGGGGACCCATGGAGGTGAGTTGGTGGCAGGTGGGTCATCTCTGTCCCCTCCCCACAGCCCCTCAGGCTCTTCCCATCTTTTCCAGCACCAGGGAAGCTCCAGCTCGTCTCCAAGAGATGGGAGGTAAAGCAGAAGTGACCGAGCTCAGCTTTGGGGCGTAAAAGCAGCGAAGGGCGACCTTTTGAGGTATCAAATAATTAATTCCCTGTTTATCCCGATAGTGTCATTGGTATCCAAGAGGCAGGAGGTCTCTCAGCAGCAGCCTCTGCCCTAGCAGCAGCACGTGGCACCCGCTGGCTCCTCTTCTCCCCAAGAGCCACCAGGGTGGAGGGACTGGTTTTTCCAGCATTAAGGCCACCTTTCTCCTCTGCATTGTCCTCTTCTCGCCGCGGGGCAGGTCCCTCTGTCAGCTCTCCAGGTTGTCACCTCGCTGGCCCAGAAGAGCGTCCCTCTCCTCGTGGGTACTGGCTCTTCCTTTCCGATAAGCAAGGAACTGGAAGGAGATCTGAGGAGAGGTTAAGGCTCCTGACTCAAGCCAGGGTGGATCTACGCGACGCGTTGGGTCTCACCACCCCCAAAAAATGGGCTGTTTGTGCCAGGAGAGGTGGAAACCGGACAAGGAACGATGCAAACAAGGGGCTGAAGCATTCAGCTGGTGGTTGCAACACCCTCAATTACTCACCGGCACGCGGTGGAGCAACAACAACTCAAAACAACCATGGAGCAGCATCAAACCACCCGCTCCCTGCCGAGCCTCTCCGGTGGGAGAGGATGGAAATGGATCACAGAATCACAGAATCTTAGTGGTTGGAAGGGACCTCAGATCATCGAGTCCAACCACAAAAAAAAAACCCAACTTCAGACCATTTCCTCTGGTCTTGTCGTTCGTCCTTTGGGAGAAGAGGCCAACACCTGCCTCTCTACAACCTCCTTTCAGGTAGTTGTAGAGGGCAATGAGGTCTCCCCTCAGCCTCCTCTTCTCCAAACTCAACATGCCCAGTTCCCTCAGCCTCTCCTCATAGGACTTGTTCTCCAGACCCCTCCCCAGCTTGGTGGCTCTCCTCTGGACACGCTCCAGCACTTCAATGTCTTTCCTGTAGTGAGGGGCCCAAAACTGAACACAGTACTCGAGGTGAGGCCTCACCAGTGCTGAGTACAGAGGCATCCCGGATGGAAAGGATACAACCACGTCGAGGGAGAGGACGCCCAGGCTGCCCACCAACCAGGGCAGGTGGTGCAGGACGTAGTCACCTTCGCCTTGTCCCGGCTCCGGGTTCTTCAGGAGGACGCTGAGGCCGTAGAGCAAGTTCCCCAACATCACCAGGGCAAAGAGGGAGTAGGAGACCCCGACGGTGGATTTCCTCTTGTACTGGAAGAAGAGGGCCCAGAGAGAGGAGCTGGGGTGCAGCTCTCCGACATCTCACTGGGAAGTACTATTAATCACCCTCCCACCAAAAAAAAAAGAAAAAAAAAGAGAATAAAAAAGGTGGTGACTCAGCACCAAGAGCCTTTTAGTTCCCCTTTTGCTTGTAAATAAAGATAAAATGAAAGCCCCCACCCTCAAAATAGGGGTGTGTTAAAAAAGAGTGAATCAGGTTTGGAGGGAAAATACAGACAAAAAGTCCCTTATGAAATGATCTGAGATGGGGACCCAGGACCTCGGAGCAAAGAGAAGGAAGCTGATGCCACGGCCCCTCTTGGATCTGAAATCTCAGGACCCCAGGGGGTCCCCAGGCCCGGGCTCTTCCCCCCTCTGCCCCCCAACTTATAAAGAGTGAATCAGGTTTGGAGGGGAAATACAGAAAAAAGTCCCTTATGAAATGATCCGAGATGGGGACCCGGGACCTGGGAGCAAAGAGGAGGAAGCTGATGCCACGGCCCATCTTGGATCTGAAATCTCAGGACCCCGGGGGGGTCCCCAGGCCCGGGCTCCCTCCCCCTCTGCCCCCCCACTCACGTTGGTGTAGATCTGGGGGAGGCGGGAGCAGAGGTACAGCACCGAGGAGACGGAGCCGATGGTGAAGCCAACGATCTCGCTCCTGCTGAAGGGCTGCAAGGCAAAGTCGGGGGGAGAGGAGGGGGGGGGACAAGCAGCCCCCCATATTTTCAGAGAGACACTTCCCACCCACAGCACAGCGAGACGACAGCGGGGCCAAACCCCAACCTTTCATTTCCCCATCTTTCCCTTGTCCCCACCCCGAGCGCCCAGAGGGACGGTGCTGACCCACACCCACACCCCATGGGGCAGTTTTTCTCCTCTCCCCCCAACCCCCCGGGTGTAGGAAACCCCCCTCCTCCTCACCTTCGGCCCCAGGTGGTCCCCACCAGCAGAGAGCAGAGACCTCCCTTTGAACCTTGCTGGCTCCTTCACCGTGGCATCACCCCTGCCCAGGAGGGAGAGGGTCGACAGCGTCCCCAGGGAGAGGAAGGCGAAGGCTGCGTTGATGGGGGCAGCAACTGTGGGGAATCAAGCAGAGGGTGGTTACCCCCATCACCCCCCTATAGATGCCAGGACCCCCCCCCGGGTACAGGAACCTTCAAGCTCTCCCTTATATCTCAGCAATAGCTGCTGCCGCCAGCATCTTATCTGGGAGAGATAGAGGCAATTTGTAAGTTATCGGGGAGGAAACCACTCCTATCTCCTGCTATCTCAGCAGATCAAAAGCTTTGGGTCTCTTTGGGTTTAGGGCTCTTAAAAATCATCCCTCACCGTCTAAAAGCTTGTCACCAACTTGCAACGTTCAAATCCCTGCCAGACCAAGCCCTGCTCCGACAGCAAGACTGGTGGGATATTCTGTAAACAAGCTCCCCAGCATTAACCAAACTGCATCATCCACGGGCCAAACATCAATTGGCTGAATAAATTCAAACGGCTTTAGTAAAGTTAAATAATTTTCAGGATGTAGTTCACAGGAAGCCGTGACGCTAAAAAGTGGATTTTTTTTCTCTTGCTGTTTAAGCCCTGCAAGAACTGCTCGGGTTCCCTTTTCGCTCCGTTGGAACAGGGAGGAACTTCTCCGTCGCCTCTGACTCGCACACGGAGCCCTGACCCCAAAACAGGAGGAAAAACTTCCCCCCTTCCCTTATGGGGCCGGCCTGAGAGTCACGAGATCTGGCTGCACTTTCCAGCTCCAAGGTGCAATCACCCGTAGCTGGGGGGAAGTCATTTCTTTCTATAACCAAGGCACCTCCCAGGAGGTTTGTTTTCACCCCCGACGCTGCCCGTGGTGGTTTTGTGGGGCTTTCAGCTGGGAAAGAGTTAATTTCCTCTCCAGCCATTGCTGTGAGAGCAATGGCAATAACACCCATTGTTTTTAGTTGTCGATCCATGGTATTTACATTATTCAAGGACTTTTTTTCAGCTTCCTGAAGAAGCACAGACAGAAGGATGGAGAGGCCAAGGGACTATTCCATACCATAGCCTTCACGGTCAGTATAGAAACGGGGGTTGGCTGCTGGGGGGGGGGAAACCCACAATCACTGCTCGGGATTCAATTCACTGGGCAGTAAGAGTGACCCGTGTCATCATCATTATTATTACTTTTCTGTTATTGTTCCATCTAAACTGTCTTTATCTCAACCCAGGAGGTTATTTTCCTCCTTTTTTCCCTTCTTGGGGTGGGGGGAAAGGAAGGGGAGTGAGCAGCCCCATGGTTCTAGTTGGGGTTAAACCCCAACAGGGGGATTTTCAGAAGCCCTAGACATGGCCAGTGGGTATTTGCTTGCTGTGGCTTCCGTGGGCGCTCAGGTTATCCCAGAGAAAAAGCCCAGAATGGAATTGGAGGCATCTAAAAGCTGCATTGATGCCTCTGTGAAGCATCTCTGCCCCAGCAGGTCTCCCCCCAGGGATGGTTTCCCCTCCCGGCTCCGCATCTGGGGACGAGCCAGTGCCCAGGGGAGCAGAACCCCTCCAAAAAACCCCAACTCACCTCCTCGGCCCCGGTTCTTCACTTTGTAGTAGCCGTAGAGCGAGAGCATCACCAGGTCTGCCAGCACGTAATAAATGGCTGTGTAAACCTGAGGGAGGAAGGACGGGTCAGTTCCAGGTTCCAGCTGGTGGCTGGGATGAGCCAGTGTCCCAGGACATGGCATCCCTGGGGAGAAGGGAGCATCCCAGGGCAGGGAGAAGGAAAAGAGCATCCCTGTGTCGGGGAGAAGGGAGGGAGCATCCCTGGAGGAGGATAAGGAAAGGAGCATCCCCTGGGGGAAAGGAAGGAAGGGAGCATCCCCACACTGGGGAGAAGGGAGCATCTCCAGGGGATGAGAAAGGAGGGAGCATCCCCTGGAAGGGAAGGAGAAGGGATGGAGCATCCCTGGGGGGAAAAAGGGAGGGAGCATCCCCTGGAAGGGAGGGAGAAGGGAGGGAGCATCCCTGGGGGGAAAAAGGGAGCATCCCTGGGGGGAAAAAGGGAGCATCCCTGGGGGGAAAAAAGGAAGGAGAAGGGAGGGAGCATCCCTGGGAGGGGGGAAGGAAGGAAGGAAGGGAGCATCCCCAGAGGGAGTAGAAGGGAGAAGGGAGCAGCCTCTGGAGGTTTTGGGAGAGAAGGGAGCATCCCATCTCCATCCCCACCCCATCCCCATCCCAGCCCTGGAGCTGGGGGTGCTGCAGAGCTGCCCCAGCCCCCCGTGGGTCGGTACCTGCAGCGGCAACTGATCGGCCAGGAAGGACCCGATGAGGTTCAGGAGGTCTCCTCCCAGCCATCCCAGCAGGAAATAGATGGAGAGAGCTCGGTCCATGATGCCTGTTTTACAGGCCTGGTAAAACTGCCTGCAGAGAGAGAGGGGGGGGGGGGGGGGGGGGGGAGGCCCACCCCCAACCCCCCCCCCCTGCCTGGGACCCCCCCCAGCTTTCCCTGCTGCTCCCACCAGGACCATTCCCCAATTCCCACCTGCCCAAAGCACCGGTGGGAGGGGAGGAAAAGCAAAGATTTCCTCTGGAAAGCCACATCCCACCCCCACAAAGGGGGCTCCCCGAAAAGTCCTGTGACTCCCACTCCCCCCCCCGGGTGCTCACAGCACCCCACGGGGGCTCAATCCATCCCTCGTGTTAGGGCAGAAAACAGCGAGGGGGGGGAAGAACCAGTTGCAAAAAACACCTCTCTAGTTACAAAATAATATATGATATCATTATTATTATTATCTTGGTCATGATATGCCGAGATTGAGTGTCACCCCCCACGTCACCCCCCGTGTCCCCCTCCTTTCCAGGGCTGTGCCCAGCACTTCCAGGAAGCCCAGGGCTGTGGAAATATTTCCCCCCCACGCCTGACCCCCATCGCAGTTGCTGTACGTGGGTCATTACAAGTTGCCAAACCCCATAATAACAATATAATAATAAACAAGGCTTTGGGGCTCCTCCCTCTCCTTTTAAACCCTGATTTTTTTCCCCAAGCCCATATTTTTGCCGGGCAGGTTTAATAATCCAGGCAAATTGGGTTTGGAATGTTGATTTTTAAGAGTGAGCAGAGGGAAGGGAGGGTGGGTGGTTTTTTTGGGATGGGGGGGGAAGGGAAACTCACGGGAAAGAGGCGGCGGCGAAGCAGAAGATGGAAACCAGTCCCAGGGTGATACTGGTGAAGTCCCAGGCGTCCTGGGCACATTCGTTGAAGATCTCCATCACCCACTGGGAGCCGTTGGGACACAAGGAGACATTCCCGGGTGGGAGACCCCCCCAGCGCCCGGCACCCATGGCCCCCGGAGCTGTGGAAAAACACAATAACCCGGGGAAATAATCAATAACCCCACGGAAAAATACACCTGCCTCAGGAACACCCTCCCGGCTCCCCCGGCCGCCTAAAAAAACCCCACTCGTTATTGGTTAATTCACCTTTTCTGGCCTTAATTTCGCCTCCGGTGGGATGACCCCACCAGGAATGCTGTCAGCCCGGAGGATTTGGTCCCAAAAAAAGAAATCAAAGCCCCTCAGTGCGTCCCTACGCTCAGGACTTACCTCCTCCCAGCGCCGCTTTGGAAATGGGCTTGATTTTTCTGCTTTTTGGGGAAACTTGGGGAGTTTTGGGTTGGTTTTGTTGTTGTTAGTTTTTTCTTCCTTCTTGTTATTTTTGTCGGCTTTCTTCAACTCCCTCGCTTCTTCAGAAACTCCCCGGCCGGGTTTCCTCAGCGAACCTGCTGCTTCTCCAGAAACTTGCTGGTTTTTTTTTTTTTTTTTCAGAAGCTTGCTGTTTTTCACCCAAATCCGCTGCTTTTTGGGGAAGTCGCTGGGCTTTTTTTCCGCACAAACTTGCTGCTCGGAGGGTAAATTCCTGTGGGGTTTTGCTTTTTTTGTTGTTGTTGTTTTTCAAATCCTGTTGCTTTTTCAGAACCTCGCTGCTTTTCCCCAAACCTCCTTTATTGGGGGGAAAGTTGCTCTTTTTTGGGGCGCAAAGCTCCCGGCTTCGGGGCGAGGTGCGCGGATGGAGCCGGTGATGCCGCAGTGCGCACGCGCGGAGGGATCTCGCCTCCTCCTCCTCCGCCCCGCCTCCCCGGTGGGCGGGGCGGGTGCTCTCCCCGCGGTCCGCTCCGCGCGCGCGTGCGCAGTGTGAGGGGCGGCCATGGCGGCGGCGGGGGGAGCGCGGCCCGGGGTGGTGCTGGGGGCCATGGAGATGGGACGGCGGGTCGGGCCCGAGGCCAGCGCCGGGCTGCTCCGCGCCTTCCTCCAGCGCGGCTACCGCCTCCTCGACACCGCTTATATGTACGCGGGAGGAGAGTCCGAACGCATCCTGGGCACGCTACTGGCCGGCGCCGCCGGGCCCGGTACGGTCGGGGCTGAGGGGCGGTGGGGCTGGGGAAGGGGGCGGTCTGTGGGGAGAGGGGGTCTTCTCTGCCCGGCTGACACCATCCCTGAGGAGAAGGGCATTCCTCTGCACCATTCCCTGAGGAGAAGGGTCTTCCCTGCCAGGCTGACACCATCCCTGAGGAGAAGGCCATTCCTCTGCACCCATTCCCCTGCACCCATTCCCTGAGGAGAAGGGTATTCCCTGTTTGGCTGACACCATTCCTGAGGAGAAGGGCTTTCCTCTGCACCCATTCCCTGAGGAGAAGGATCTTCCCAGGCAGACTGACACCATTCCTGAGGAAAAGGGCTTTACCCCAGGCCTATTCCCTGAGAAGGGTCTTCCCAGGCAGACTGACACCATTCCTGAGGAAAGGGGCATTCTTCTGTAGCCATTCCCTGAGGAGAAGGGTCTGTCCTGCCGGGCTGACACCGTCCCTGAGGAGAAGGGCTTTACCCCAGGCCTATTCTCTGAGGAGATGGGTCTTCCCTGCGAGGCTGACGCTGTCCCTGAGGAGAAGAGTATTCCCCTGGGCCTGTTCATTGAGGAGATGGGCTTTTCTCTGCCAGACTGATACCCTCCCCAAGGGGAAGGGACCCCCCTGCTAGTTCTGACCTGTGGGCCTTGAGAAGGGCTTCCCTCTCTAGGGCAGACCTGCAGTCCCTAAGGGGAAGGGCATCCCCTGCTAGGCTGACATGGTTCACGAGGAGAAGGGCCTTCCCTGAAACACCATGAGCAATGCTTGCATTGTGCCCCTTCTCCCCATTCCCTTCCTGAAGGTGGAAGCGTCCCTGCTCATCCTTCCTTCCTCTCTGCCAGTGGAAGTTGCCACCAAGGCCAACCCCTGGGATGGGAAGACACTGAAGCCCGAGAGCGTGCGGTCGCAGCTGGACACGTCCCTGGAGAGGCTGAAGAGGACGAGCGTGGAGCTCTTCTACCTCCACGCTCCTGACCACGGGACCCCGGTGGAGGAGACCCTGCGTGCCTGCAATGAGCTGCACAAAGAAGTAAAGTGGGAAGTCCAAGCCTGGACCATCTCTCTTGATTCCTTCCCTCTCCCCACCTTTTTTTTTTAAACCAGGGCTACTGCTCGTGCCCTTCTGCAGCATTGGGAAGAGGGGACACATGACCAGGGCAGAGCTAAACGATGTTGTGTGTTCACATGGTGCACTTTGTTCTCCAAAGCTCTTGGAAACCTGAGAACATCTGAACTTTGCTTTCAGCCTCGTTAACTGACTAGGTTAAGATTAGTGCTGGGAAGGGGTGAAGAAGAATTCCTGAATTGCATTAATTTAGTGCTGCTGTTTACATTAGAAGCTGTGAATTCAGAATGAACAGAAAGCAGGAGATATTTTTGTCAGGTCTTACAATTCACAGTCACCTAGAAGAGATGAACAGGGATGAGGAAAGAACTCTGGAATAAAATACAGCGACTGTCCTTTTCACCGTTTGCATCTTGCACTAAATACAAATGCAACTGAATAACATTTTTTAAAAAAAACCTGGAACTGAATACCCTTTGAAATTGAAAACCCTTTTATTTCTCTGCAGGGAAAGTTTAAAGAACTCGGTCTATCAAACTACGCCGCTTGGGAGGTGGCAGAAATCTGCACCATCTGCAAATACAACAACTGGGTGATGCCAACAGTGTACCAGGTGAGGGATGGGGGCTTGTTGTGGTCTTTTGGGGAGGCTGAGATGGATCAAGCTGAAAGAACACGGGGGTTCAGACCAGAACAGCACAGGAATGGTTGTGTGTGTGTGTGTGTGTGTCCTTACAGCAATGGGCAGTCACCGTGGGGTAGGGTCTGGGAGCCCCCAGTCTCAGACCAGTCCCCCTGCTGTGTGCCAGACACAAACACAGAACAGGAAGCTGATGCAGTTTGTCTGGGAAGTCTTTTCAGGACACACATGATTAGAAAACTGAGTGAGATCACCTCAGAAAAAGCTGAGTGTGCGTTTTTTTGCTTGAGTCAGTGACTCCCTTCATGTGGAACTTAAAAGTTTTTGCATTGCTTGCAGTCCTTGAGAAAGCCTGTTCCTAAGCAGATAAGAACCTTGTGTGACCTGAAGCCACTCTTCTGGATAAGAGTATTGTCAGGGACGGGTGGGGAAAAGGCTGTTCCAGGTGCTCGTGACCGCTGTCGTGAGCTGGCGTTGGGAATTTCACTGAATTTCACTGAATTTTGGCTGTTGTGAGCTGGCGTTGGGAGTTTCACTGAATTTCACTGAATTTTAGAGTTGGAAGGGACCATAGAGATCATCCAGTCCAACCCCCCTGCTGAAGCAGGATTGCCCAGAGCTTGTCAGAGCATGTTACTCAGGAGCATCCAGGCGGGTCTTGAAGATCTCCAGAGAAGGGGACTCCACAACCTCCCTGGGCAGCCTGTTCCAGGGCTCTGCCACCCTCACCGTGAAGAAGTTTTTTCTCATATTTGAGTGGAACCTCTTCTGTTCCAACTTGTGCCCGTTGCCCCTCGTCCTCTCACTGGGAACCACTGAAAAGAGTCTGGCTCCCTCCTCCTTCAACCCTCCCTTGAGATGAGTTGTGTGTCTCCCTCTCCTTCTGCAGGGTATGTACAACGCGACCACTCGCCAGGTGGAAACCGAGCTGTTCCCCTGCCTGAGGTACTACGGGCTGCGCTTCTACGCCTACAACCCCCTGGCAGGTATGGGGAGGGGGAGGGCAAGGCTTTGAGGCAAAAAACATGCCAAAAAGGGGGCTGTAGAAGAGCCAGCCCATCCCTAAATGTTGCTGCTGCCCCTTTGCAGGAGGGCTGCTGACTGGCAAGTACAAGTACGAGGACAAAGACACACGCCAGCCCACCGGAAGGTTTTTTGGCAATGACTGGGCTCAAGCCTACAGGGACAGGTAGGTTTTGAGCTGATGGAAGAGCAGGGAGATGCATCAGGCGTGGCTCCAGAGGAACCCCCAGGCTAATAATCAGCTGAGAGGAAGCAGAATTGACTGAAAGCCCATGCAGTGATTACTCCTGCACACGTGGTTGGGGCCGTGGCTCGTGACTGAGCTTTGCAGAGTGGTTTTTAGGCTCGGCTTCCTCCTGGCTCGTCCTCAGAGGCTACAAAAATTGTGTGAGGCTTCCTGAAAGCCTTTCATCCTTGCTCGGAATATAGATGTACCCTTCACTAGAGGTCCTGAAGGCAGTAAGAACAATTTCTCTTCTTGCAGGTACTGGAAAAAGCACAATTTTGAAGGAATCGCCATAGTAGAAAAAGCTCTGAAAGATGCTTATGGTTCCAACGCCCCGAGCCTGACCTCTGCTGCCTTGCGCTGGCTGTACAATCACTCCAAGCTGCAGGTGAGAGCTCCACGTGGCTGTAGCCCAGCAGCTGTTGCGGCACACAGATGGGGAAACACCTGCATACAAACAGTTCTCTCTTAATCTGCACATCCCGTGGCCTTCCAAAGTGACTACTGCTGTATGGCCTCTGCTTGCCAGGCGGTAGGAGCGAGTCAGCTCTGCGTTTTCCAGTGTCCTGCGTTCACAGGATTGGAAAAAGTGGAATATTTTAAGTGCTGGGGGAAATATTTTAATTACCAGGGTCTTGATTTCCCACCCAGACAGCTCCCCTGTGAGGACATGACTTTGCTTTTCATTGGACTAGGAAATTAATGGTTGTATTTAAGCGCTGGGGGAAATATTTTAATTACCAGGGTCTTGGTTTCCCACCCAGACAGCTTCCCTGCGAGGACATGACTTTGCTTTTCATTGGACTAGGAAATTAATGGTTGTATTCCCCATGTCCCCAAAATGTTATTCATAGAATCATAGAATCATTGAGGTTGGAAGAGACCCTTGGGATCATCGAGTCCAACCATCTCCCCTACTCTACAAATCTCCCCAAAATGGTCTTGTAGCCCTTATATTCCCAACCTCCCCAAAATGTCCCCATAGACCCTTGTATAGTAAGATTTGGCAGCTTTTGAGGAGTCAGCGCGACTTGGAGCTGTTCTGGCCTCGAGAACAGAACTTCATGGTGTCAGTTGTCTAAACATCCAGAAGTTACTGGATGTTACTCACCAGAAGGAAAGGTTTAAAGTTTAGCCTGTAGTGGCCTGGGAGGTGAAGGAGGTTTCTTTGGGGGTCAGCAATTCCTCTTATTACATTTCCAGGGTTCTCTTGGAGACATGGTGATCATCGGGATGTCCAGTTTGGAGCAGCTGGAGCAGAACCTTGACTACAGCCAAGAGGGTCCCCTGCTCCCGCCCGTCGTGGAGGCGTTCGATCAGGCCTGCCCCAGCTCCCTCAGCTGCTCTTCATATGATTTGTTGTATATTTGTCATATGATTGTAGCCCTTATATTCCCAACCTCCCCAAAATGTCCCCATAGACCCTTGTATAGTAAGATTTGGCAGCTTTTGAGGAGTCAGCGCGACTTGGAGCTGTTCTGGCCTCGAGAACAGAACTTCATGGTGTCAGTTGTCTAAACATCCAGAAGTTACTGGATGTTACTCACCAGAAGGAAAGGTTTAAAGTTTAGCCTGTAGTGGCCTGGGAGGTGAAGGAGGTTTCTTTGGGGGTCAGCAATTCCTCTTATTACATTTCCAGGGTTCTCTTGGAGACATGGTGATCATCGGGATGTCCAGTTTGGAGCAGCTGGAGCAGAACCTTGACTACAGCCAAGAGGGTCCCCTGCTCCCGCCCGTCGTGGAGGCGTTCGATCAGGCCTGGAACCTGAGTGCGCACGACTGCCCCAACTATTTCCGCTAGACACCAGGGTAGGGACGAGAAAGCGGGTGTTGAGGGGGTGGATAATGGAGCACAAACCTCTCGAAGCTTGGGAGAAGCACTTCCCCACCCTGCCCCTTCGATCGACGTGTAAATGGGTTGAGATTTTCCCCCTGAATTAATGAAGCTTTGTAGGATCCGCTACCGCTGTCAGCGCTTGGCGCGTTGGGCGATGCCTTATTCTTCCTCCCCTCGTGGACCTCCGGCTCCAAAGAGCAAACACTACCATTTCCAGGTGCAATTAATTGGGAAAATGGACACATAACTGGATGAAGGCCCCAGTTCTGCTTTAATACAAAATCTTAAATAATTACGTACAAGAATAAAACCCTTTTCTAACACAGACCCTATCTCTCAACTGTAGCTACAAACTGGCTGGCACCTTCTTATCAGCGTTCTATGATTTTTGAGCATAATAACTGATTCTGAAACTTTTAGCGCACCTTCTTATCAGCGCTCTATGATTTTTGAGCATAATAACTGATTCTGAAACTTTTAGCAGAAATAAGAAGAAAGCCTCAGTGTTTTCCCCAGCATCAGGTGTGCCACGTGTAAGCTGCATTAATTACACTTCGGGGCTTTATGCTTAGTTTTCATGTTGGAGGTGGCATTTCCTCAGATCCCAGAACCAGTAACAGGAAGCAGCGACAACCACCTGAAGTTTTATATATAGATTTATATAAAAAAACCCCCATAATTAGGTCATATTTATGAATAACATGTTTTAGCTGATAGTCTTTGTCCTCCGGGTGCAAACAGGGAAGGGAAACCTCCCCCTCTTTTGTCTCTAAAACAGAGTAGAGCTGTTTAGTGTCCAAGCACAGGGACTGCTGCTAGTCCTCGTTGCTGTCATCGTCGTCCTCCTCTTCTTCCTCCTCCTCCTCCTCCGCTGTGTCTCCCACAAGTTTCTGGAAGTCTCCCGTCTCAGAATTCCACAGAAATTTGATGGTGACTTTAAATTCTGCCATCTCGTAGCCGAAGAGTTTCTAGGAAAAGGACACAAATCTGTCATTCCTGCACCACTGTCTCTGTGGCCAGCCTGGAAAAACCACACTGAATATCGCGTCCAGGTGGGAACAACAGCAAAGCAGGAGCAAAAATAATTGCTGCAGGGTTTTAGCACTTTTAGTGTAAGGATGTTTGCTGCATCCCACTGACCCACACCCAGAAGTTCTGCTCATCCATGAGCTCAAACCCTTCAGCCAAATTAAGCCAAACAGTTAATTATTTTGCATCAGGGGAAATAGGGCTGTTTTGCCATCCAGCATGACCTGGACAGGCTGGAGAGCTGGGCAGAGAGGAACCTCATGAGGTTCAACAAGGGCAAGTGTATGGTCCTGCACCTGGGGAGGAAGAACCCCAGGCACCAGTAGAGGTTAGGGGTGGAGCTGCTGGAAAGGACTTCTGAGGAGAAGGATCTGGGGGTCCTGGTGGACAGTAAACTCTCCAGGAGCCAGCAATGTGCCCTTGTGGCCAAGAGGCCAATGGGATCCTGGGCTGCGTAGGGAAGAGTGTGGCCAGGAGGTGGAGGGAGGTCATTCTCCCCCTCTGCTCTGCACTGGGGAGGCCACAACTGGAATCCTGTGTCCAGTTCTGGGCTCCCCAGTTCAAGAGGGACAGGGAACTGCTGGAGAGAGTCCAGCGAAGGGCAACAGAGATGATGGAGGGATTGGAGCATCTCCCTGATGAGGAAAGGCTGAGAGAGCTGGGGCTCTTGAGCCTGGAGAAGAGAAGGCTGAGGGGAGACCTTATTAATGCTGACAAGTGTCTAAAGGGTGGGTTGAAGGAGGATGGAGCCTGACTCTTTCCAGTGGTTCCCAGTGACAGGACGAGGGATAATGGGCACAAGCTGGACCATGGGAAGTTCCACTCCAATGTGAGGAAGAACTTGTTTGGGGTGAGGGTGGCAGAGCCCTGGCAGAGGCTGCCCAGGGAGGGTGTGGAGTCCCCTTCTCTGGAGATCTTCAAGCCCCACCTGGATGCTCCTGAGTGATGTGCTCTGGGCAGCCCTGCTTTGGCAGGGAGTTGGACTGGATGATCTCTAGAGGGTCCCTTCCAACTCCAACAATTCTGTGGTTCCATGAAATAGGGGCTTGTGTGTGACACCATTACTCACCAGGACACGGGCTTGTTCTGGGGTGAGAACGTCCCCTTCTTTGCAGACTTCATAATCTGAGAGTAGGGTCACCACTCCTGTGGGAACAGAACAGGCTCACAAATACGGGATAAACCCCCCAAAAGGCAGGGTGCAGAGGTACAGCTCTCCCAAACACCGCCCGTGGGAGCTTATGCCTTGCCACGGAAATATGGGTACGGCCCAAAGAAGCTGGGTGAGATCAAGTCTAAAAGATCCCCACATCTGGTATCTGAACAGGACGCCAACGCACCAGGCCAAGCTGAGTTGTTTTGACTGAAAAAAGACGGTATTTTGTAGAAAGCTGGTTGTTTCACTCATCTTTTGACATCAGTTTGAGAGAATGGTGCAAGAATATAATGAGTTCTAACACTAACTGAACAAGTTGTCCATCAGGTCTCCAAAACTAAGTTCTACTTGATTATTTAATGTTCTCCTTAAAGACTCTTGTCTGCACAGATGAAGATTGAAGGTTACCTTCTTGGCCGCTTCACGTACCTTTCTTTAACGCCGTTGGCAATCCCAGCTGCCGTAACTGAGGCTCCATGGAGTGGGGGAACTGCTCCAAGGGCCCCGTGTCCAGGCTCACCCCGTAGGTCGCCTTGTTCCCTGCGCGGGCAAAGTCCACCTCTTTGAATTTGGAGAACCACCTGCGAGGGGAACAAGGAGGGCTTTGGCTGCGGAGGGAACATCCCTTGGCTGAGACGGGGATTACGGCACAGCCTGCCCTGACTTCTGTGGGGAAACACCTCCTGAGCATCACTGCTTGAAGGGAAACGTCAGCAAGTGGAGTGGTTGAGTGGAAAGTTGATGGTTGGACTGGATGGTCTTCAAAGTCATAGAATCATAGAATGGTTTGGGTTGGAAGGGACCTTAAAGATCATCCAGTTCCAACCCCCTGCCCTGGGCAGGGACACCTCCCACCACACCAGGTTGCTCCAAGCCCCCTCCAACCTGGCCTTGAACCCCTCCAGGGATGGGGCAGCCACAGCTTCTCTGGGCAACCTGGGCCAGGCTCTCCCCACCCTCACACCAAAGAAGTTCTGCCTGAGATCTCATCCAAATCTCCCCTCTTCCAATTTAAAACCGTTCCCCCTTGTCCTGTCGCTGCACTCCCTGACAAAGAGTCCCTCCCCAGCTCTCCTGTAGCCCCTTCAGATACTGGAAGGGGCTCTAAGGTCTCCCCGGAGCCTTCTCTTCTCCAGGCTGAACAACCCCAGCTCTCTCAGCCTGTCCTCACAGCAGAGGGGCTCCAGCCCTCTCATCATCTTCATGGCCCTGCGCTGGACCCGTTCCCCCAGATCCCCATCCTTCCCATGTTGAGGACTCCAGAGCTGGACACAGAGCTCCAGGTGGGGTGTCATGAGTGCAGAGTAAAGGGGTACAATCACCTCCCATGACCTGCTGGCCACACTTCTCTTGATGCAGCCCAGGATGGGGTTGGCTTTCTGGGCTGCCAGTGCAGGTCCCTTCCAACCTAGACAATTCTATGATTCCACAAAAAAAAAAGGCTGCTCAACATTTCATAGAATCGTTAGGGTTGGGAGAGACCCTTAAGATTGAGTCCAACCGTTAGCCCAGCCCTGCCAAGTCTCCACTGACCCGTGTCCCTCAGCACCAGCTCTACTCATCTTTTAAATACCTCCAGGGATGGTGACTCCACCACTGCCCTGGGCAGCCTCTTCCAAATGCTGGACAAACCCTTTCAGTGAAGAGACTTTTTCCCAATCTCCAATCTGAACCTCCCCAGCACAACTTGAGGCCGTTTCCTCTTGTCCCATCACCCGTTCCCTGGGAGAAGAGACCCACCACGGCGGTGACAGACGCCTACTTACTCATCCACCTCCTCTCTGGTGCGGTTGGTGAAGAGGAGACCGACTTCACCTCGCAGGTGTTTGCTGACCTGAAAGAAAGAAGCCATGGGTGGGACTTGGGATGCACCTCCTGGGGTTCAGAGCTTTTGTGTCACAGAATCACAGAATCTTCTAGGTTGGAAGGGACCTTAAAGATCATCTTGTCCAACCCTCAACCTCACTTTGACAAAAATAAACACCCACACAACAAACAAGAAGCATGACCATCACTAAACCCTATCTCCCAGCACTACATCAACCCGTCTTTTGAACACCTCCAGGGATGGGGCCTCAACCACCTCCCTGGGCAGCCCATTCCAATGGCTGAGAACCCTTTCATGGATCCAGTTTAAAAAAACAGTGGAAAAGTGATGTGAGGAAGCTCTATTGTCCCTCAAGGTTTTATTCCATGAAGATTAAGGACACACATTCCCCTACCTTGTGCAGATTCTCCTTGTACTCGCTGCTCGGCTCCCGTCCCAGTGCCACCATCATGACTTTGTTCTTCCCAAAGAAGATCCTGAGGAGGAAGAGGAGAAGGAGGAAGAGGAGATGGCGACTCTCTGCTTCGGGGGGCACTCAACCCTCTGCCACGCCAGCCCCCACCGCCTCACCTGCTGTGCTTCCAGGCGTTCCTCACGTCCTTCAGCTTGTTGTTCCTCATGTTGGCGACGGAGAAGACGAAGATGTACTTGTAGGTGTCCACGCATCGCCGCAGCTGGAAGGACAGCGGTTAGAGGGGGGAACGGGGACCGCCGCGGGGCCTGCCCGGGCCGGGCCGCACTCACCTCAGTGATCAGCGCCTGCTTGGCCTCCAACCCCTTCCTGGGCGTCCGCGTCAGGGAAACTGCGGGGAGCGGAGAGGAGAGGCGGCGTTAAGGCGGGGATGGGCGCCGGGGGAAGGGAAGGGGAGGGAGACAGGGCTCGGGGCGCTGGGCTCACCCTTGCGGTCCCGCTTGGACTTCGGCATGGCGCCGC